ATGGGCCAATAACTGCCCTGGCATATCTGCAAATTCTACGGAAAGGAAACTGCAAGAAATTGGTATGAACACCACCAGACCCGGTTACAAAGATAGGAAATGTAATAATGTTATAGGACTTTACAATACACTCAGACTGAACAATCAAAGAATTTTTCACAGAAATTGTGATTAGAGACCGCAAAAACAAAATTTGCCTTCCTCTTCACATGGTAGTCACTGCAGACTGGAAGATCTTCAAAAACTATTAAAATGCTACAACATTGAAAGAATGTGGCGCATGAAGATATTAAGAATTCCAGCTATTGTGGATTTATTGAAAACATTCAAACGGCCTCATTGAATGGAGTATCCTATGTCTTAAAGAAATACAAAAAAATGTTCTTATGAATACAGCCTACACCTTATGAAGGGCTTTATCAATGTAAAATATGTATGATCTTAGGTTTTATTTTTTTCATAAAAAAGGTTCAGTGGAAAATATCATGATTCTTTTTAAGACCTTAGGTCTCTAGTTTGGACATGGAAAGAAATGAGTATACACAAGAAATCAAAGGAAATATTATTATTATTATTATTAATAATAATAATAATAATAATACCCCGTTACGGAGATCGTTACATTTGTATGAAAACAACCCAGACCCGGTTACGGAGATGGAACCTGTTATAATTTTATGAAATTGCACAATACACAGAGACAGAACAATCAAAGCTAACCGCCTAGACATTGTTATTAGAGACTGAAAACAAAGAAGTGCCTCCCTATTGATATGGCAGTACCTGCTGCCTGCAATGTATCTGTGAAGATCTTCAAAAAGCTATCAAAATACAAGGACCTTGAAAATTCGAAATTTCAAAACTGTGATATATGGGAATATCAACAATCCCTGTTGTGGTTGGAACCCTCGGATTGGTTGGAAAAGATTCCTGTAGACTAAGTGAAGGGATTCCTTGAAACTCATGCCTTAAGAAAATACAAAAAAAAATGTTCTCACAAGTGCAACCCACACTTTACGAAGAGCTTTATCTATGTAAAATATGTGATTTATTTTTAATTGCTCAATAGAAAATGTCATAATACCATTTCTGATTTTAGGTCTCTGAGCTGGACCCGAAAAGAAATATGTACACACCAGAAATCAAAGGAAATACTACTACTACTACTACTACTACTACTACTACTACTACTAATAATAATAATAATAAATAACCGGTATTTGGAAAATTCATCATCCTTCGTCATGATTATGATGGTAATGATATTGACTATTTTATTGTTTTTGATTTTCTTTGTACTTTTCTTAATAATATTCCCATTATTGTGGTTGTTATCTTTTGTCGTTCATCATAAGTACTTGTGCCATTACATATTTACAATTAAGATATAATAAATCAATTTGTACTTCAGTATACTTATTTGTATTGCGACAGAATTTTCTGTCAGTGTTTAAATCTCACCTAGAAATATTCGACTTTTTAACGCTTCCTAAATTGAAATAATTACATCAGCCATCACTAGGCAAAACAAAAAATTCACAAATACATCTCTATTGTTCTTAGTTCGACGGGGGATTAGGGTTAGTTCTCGCTAATTCCCTTCCAAATATCACTTTGAATATTCTTGATCCTTGTCATAACGTAGCAACTACTGAAATAAATCCTTACTACGATTGCTTGAACCGCCATTCTCTAATATGCTTTTAAGTCAGTAGCGAGCTAACATTGTGTGAGCTTGTCTACTGTTCGACCATCTTATGCCAAAAGAACAAGCGAGGAGATTCTATGAAAAGGATGTTTAATCCAAGTATTTCCCCAATATTCTAGATTAACGCTTAAATCACAACTGAGTCGTCGGTGAGAAGACAAACGCAGAGCACAATGAGAGAGCTGAAGGAGATCCCTAAAGAATACATTGTAAACTATTTTTGAGCAATTTGGAAAGGAAAAATATGTCACTGAATTAGTCATTCTAGATTATCGTTTTTTTAAAATACTTGGTAACTTTTTTGACAGAACTCATATGTGCATCTCTTTACGTACATTGAAAATCATTGACTGTCATGGATCTAAATTATTACATTGGTTTGTTTTGTTTTACGCTATATCAACCTCAATGGTTTATTTAATGCCGACAAGATTTTCATTATTTGTAATATATTCTCCGAAAATATTGCTTGTAATATTTTTTCTCAAAGATACATTGCTGGTAATATGTTTCCTTGAAAATATATTGTTAATAATATTTTTTTCCTTGAAAAATGTATTGCTGGTAATATTTTTTCAATCAAAAAAAGTACTACTGGTAATATATTTCTTCAAAAATGTGTTGCTGGTAATGTTTTTCATTCAAAATTGTATTGCTAGAAATATCTTTCCTTTCAAAAAATTACTGCTGGTAACATATTTCTTCAAAGATTTGTTGCTGCTAATATTTTTCTGAAAAGAATATTGCTGGAGATATTTTATATCTTCAGAAATTTATTGCTTGTAATAATGTATTACCGGTAATAATTTGTGTCTTCAAAGAATTTATTGCTAGTATTAAAACCTATTCTTACTCTTTCATAGTCTTTTAAACACAGTTTGTGAGTTTTACATATTTGTGCATATATTTGGATGCTAACAGGTGCTATTCCCCCTGTTCATGTTGGACCTTGGAACACCAGCAATTAATAGGAGGTTACACGCTCCTTAAAACCCCCTGATCAGAAGTCTTACTGCTGGACATAGTTTATCGTCATACCCAGGACGTGGATGTAGTTTATCGTCATACCCAGGACGTGGATGTAGTTTATCGTCATACCCAGGACGTGGATGTCGTTTATCGTCTTACCCAGGATGTGGATGTAGTATATCTTCATACGTGGATGTAGTTTTTCGTTTTACTCAGGACGCCTGATATAGTTTATCTTCATACGCAGAAAGCCAGATGTAGTTTAATGTCTTAACCAGGACACTCTAAATTATTATAAAGGAATACTTTTTTTTCTGATTGTCTGCTACTTATTTCCCTCTGCAGTATTAATACTACCTTAATAATACTCTATATGTTTATATTCATCAAACGTATTAACTAACAGAAAATGATAGCTTATGGCTGAATAAAATGTCGCGTGAGCCTTGAAAATCAGATTTCGATCTTCTTGATTCAAAAAGCAAACATTTGTAACAGTGGAAATGCAAAAGACTTTCAGCCGAGTGTCAAGACACTATATACAACTGTACGTGTTTGTATAAATGGGAATAATGTAAACAAGAAAAGCAAATTGCTTCAAAACATGTAAAATTAAGGAGAGTGAGAAAAGTAATGAATGAGAAGATTTTTTATCTGTTGTTTCATCTCTTGTTAATGTCCTTTGATTGCTAAATCAAAGAGAACTAATTAAGCAAACCAACAAACAACAAATCAGCCAAGGTTGATTTCTACCAGAAGCTCGACTGAATTTTTCGCATTTCTATCTCCATTGAAATAAGCACCAAATCGCAGACATATTTCTTCTTTAAATATATGTATCTTGTTATTTCCTTTTTTTTTCTTCTTTCATTTCTGCATCAGTGGAAATGTTGTACCGCGTACTTGCTCTTTTTCACATAATTTCCTTTCAAATAAGCTTTTATACTTTATTTTCGATATTTTATGTTTTACTCTGGACAACAAGACGTCAAAAGGCTTGGTGAAGCGTTCGGAGGCGTTGGACAAGCATTTGAAAAACGAGGCCGTTGCGTACATTTAAAACAAACAAACAGCCGATTGGTCTGCTCTTGGAAGTAAATAGACAGACGTCTGGCTATATGTTTTATTAAATAGATATCAATGGAAATATCAATACAGCTTAATATCCTATTGACAATTTTATGCTTCCTTTTATATTTAATTATTTTTGAAACTAATTAATTTTGTTAAGAAAACTGCCATCCCATTAGTTGTCTGTAAAAAATAAATCCAATAACCGGTTCCACATTGACTCGCGTAGAGATCTGCGTAAAGAACAATGACACTAGGAGAAATATTTGTTTGGAATTGTTTTGAAACAAATATATATTTGTAATGAGATAATGTAGAGATAGTGTAAATGTTATACATTCAGAAAGTGGCTTTAGGTACTGTGTTCAATTTAACTATCTGTCTTGTATGGTATCTTCATGTGAATCCACCTCTTTTTCCGACTGAACCACTCATATAACGAAAGTGCTTTCTTGACATGGATAGCAGCAAGTTTAGGAGAAAAAACTGAATTTAAAATCGTGCGGGAACCAATGTTGGATACCCCCTTCTTGGTGGGGGTCTGTCAGTTGACACTCTTGAGGCGTTCATAAAGTTGTCTTCCTCTTTTTCTTCTCTAGGCCGTCTTCTCCGGTTCGAGTAGCCGCTAGTTGTTTTTTTCGGAAATGAATTAAGAACTTCAACAAAAGGGATTTTAAACTTATATATTTTATTGAACACGTAGACGTGCACATCTTCTAACTAGCCAGTGAGGCCGTTCTATCACCTCCAACTGGGGAGCAATTCCCCTGAGACACGAAAATACCAACGTCTAATGTATATGACGTGTAAAACATAACTCCACGAAATAACATTTTATCTCTCTAAAATTCTTGCGTTCGGTTCAGCTAATGAAAATCGAGATCCCTATTTTGTTTCCCATTTTACAAAGGTTAACCTCAGAATATCTGACATAAAATACACTGACACTAAATAAAATAATAGTCTGAAACTATTATTTAACACCAAGATTAGAAGATTCAACTGTCATCCCCAGCAATACAGGGTAATCTACAAATGATAAAAAGTTATATGTATAGAGAAATGAATGCGAATACTAATGGTACAAATAGAAATATATTTTTCTGCCCTGTCAAACGAACGAAATACACCATAAAGCCATTTTTCAATCGCAAGTCTACGCATATGTTGGATAATTAAAAAGAAAATAATCATAGACTATGTCAACATTTTGATTTACACTTGAGCTTCCAACGTTAATTCTAATAGTGATGACGACGATATCACATTGAAACACCGGTGCCTGTACGATCAGCGAAGTTAAGCAACATCGTTCCTGGTCAGTAACTAGATGCATGACCGCTTGGGAATATCAGGTGCTGGAAGCTTTGTTGTTTAGGTGTTGTGTTGGATAGTGACTCGGAATTGTTAATCAGACTTTTATAGCAACTACAGATGCCTGAGGATTAACAGAGCATACTTGGTGGAAACGATGTGTCTATAATAAACTCTATATCATCGAAAGTGGGGACAATACTTAGAAATAATATACGTTTTATGGGAACTTACCCATAATAATAATGGACTATTCCTAACATTTTAAATAATGTGCCTCTCAAGAGGTATGAGCATATTGTAAGACGAGGAGAGATAATTGAGAGCATATTGTAAGGACATTGGAATAGTGATACTTGTCGAGACAACATATTTCACTCTAACCAAATCTGATAGCCATTACTAATACTTCTACTTCTTTGTATTATATTTCTGTTGTAATATATATTTGTATTCCATTCCTGTGTTCGTGTTATTCTTTCATTGGTTCTACCCTTGGACCGTCATCGTGGTACAAGGAACTTGGACGATAACAAGTGGCGACGAAGAAACCCTAAAAAAAAACGAACTCTTTACGCGGAGGTCATAACATTTTTGCTATCCGTCGCACATAACAATTGGCGACGAGGTAACCCAATAAACCAACTCTCTACGCGGAGGACAAACCTTTTTGCTATCCGTTGCACATAACGGTGTCGACGAGAAAACTGAAGAAACAAGTTCTACGTGGAAATTCTAAAAGACAAGTTCCACGCGAACATATATATATATATATATATATATATATATATATATATATATATAAAGGTTTTTTGGGACATCAATTTTACTGTGGTAACAAAGACACAAGTTCTACACATGGAATTGGGCGGGGGCGTACAAAGGTTCCAGAATATCAGGCTTCGCTAAAGGAAAAAAACTTACACAAAATTATGTTAACATGGAAGATTTTAAGTCAACCATTGTGGAACTTATGAAAATCCAATTTGAACAGCAACAGAAAAACCAACAGAAACATCTTGACTTACAAGAATTATTGCTACGTGTAATGTCAAATAGAGGGCAAAATTTCTATATGAATTTGACTGCAGAAATTGGTCAGACGCAAGAAATATACGACTACTACAAAGAAAATTAGGCACATGCGAATATACCAAATTCGTAGATTATATCCTACCGAGGAAAACAAATGAGTTAACTTTCAAAGAATCCATAAAACTGTTAACAGAACTTTTCAGCCCTAATACCTCACTATTTCAGAAAAGATGGAAATGTCTGAATCTAAGAAAAAAGAAGAGCGAAGATTACATAACTTTCGCTTCCATTGTAAACAAATATTGTGATGATTTCAAGTTATCAGAACTCAGCTCGATAAATTTCATTTGTTTAATATACGTTCAAGGCCTGGTTTCAACCAAAGACGCGGAAATTAGACGCAGAATCCTTACTAAATTGGACAGTGAACAAGATTTAACACTTCAAAAATCTGGCCGAAGACTGCCAGATATGCATAAGTGTAAAGAAAGACTCAAAATATATAGTAGAAGCTGGCATCACGCACATACGTAAAGTACGAAGACAAACCAACTTTCCCCACTCACAAACAAACAAACCAATTTTCCCTCCTCAAAAACAGGTCAAACAAATTTTTCTACTTCAAAAAGTCAACATCAGAAAAACAGCCACCAAGTCCATGCTATCGCTGTGGGACGTGGCATTGGTATAAAGACTGTCCATACCGTTTTAAAACTTGTCTATCATGCAAAAAAGTAGGACATAAAAGTTCTCATTATTGGACCAGAAGAGAAAGCAAAAGCAGAATTAGAATCACGAGGACTGACCAAGCGGATGAGACTAACATAAGAAAATACGTGCAAGTAGAAATGCAAAACAGAAAAGTCAGACTACAGTTGGATTCCGGGTTGGACTTAACTATTATTAACGGACAAACATGGAAAAAAAACTGAACAAACCTACCATGTTAAGAACCGATAAAATTGCTAGATCGGTAAATGGGAGAAAAATAAAATTTGAGGGTGAAGTGATTACAAATGTGACATTCAATGGAATGACCAAAATATTATAAAATGTATGTGCTAAGAAATATAGAAAACTTATTCGGTACAGATTGGATGCAAAAATTCGAACTTTGGGATTTACCAATAAGTACGTACTGCCAAAATGTAAAAAAGTCTATTGACAGAGGCAGATTTATTAAAAGAGAAACTAAAAGAGAATTTCCCCGAAGTATTTTCAGCAGGTCTCAGCATAGAAATTTGATGTCTTCTATTTCTGTAACAGGTGCTGTGTGGTGTTCATACCAGTGTTTATTAACATATTTTCCAAAATGTTTACACATTGTCCAGTGTAAGTATTGTCCCTCTATAACATGACTATTTTACATACATTTGGCGCCAGTACACAAGATTCTGCGATTAAATGATCATTGTTTTCCTAACATTTTCACAGAACCTGTATTTTAGATCCACATTATTATGTACGATATTTTGATATTTTAGTGAAATGACTCTGGTCGTATGCTGCAAGAATCTTGCCTGCTATCTTTGTATTTAATCCAGATGCTCGTAACGATCGATGAGTGTTAACTTTATCAACATCGGCTTTATTAGCACATTCTGGATATTGGTCATGCAGAGGTTTTTATTAATATTGACATCGTCATAATCATTAAATTGCGTCACACTAACTCCGATGTCTACGGGAAGACCTAAGGCAGGTAGTGGATTATTTTATTGGATATATTTCTTGATCTGTTTTTCTAACTCCCATGACATCACTAGCGCTAAATGGATAAAGCTCTAAGTGTAAGCTGTACTTATCAAGGCAATGTCTTGTATTTCTCTTAGTGAAAAGTCTCTTGTCTTGCGCTGCAAAAATAAAGCTCTGCGTTTCTGCCATTAATCCAGATGCTCTTAACCATAGATGAGTGTTAACTTTATCAACATCGGATTTATTAGCACTTTCTCGATATTGGCTGCACAGAGAATCTTGCCAGCGTTCTTTCATCTGTTCACGAGCTTCATCCTTGGCTTTCTTTTTTATAATTTTTACTGCAACAGTTGGTACTTAGGTTTTATTTTGTTCTTTTTTTATATAATCTGCTAAATGTACATCTTGTTTTTATTAACAACCGTCTTTCATGATTAAGTATTTTTCCATTTTTTTAATTGTTTGCCAAATTGTATCACCCATTGCTTTGTTTGATTCCATGTATGTTAGGAAGGCAACTGTTGTTACTTTTATGACAATTCTAGTTGAATAATTTCTCTTCCACCTACTCTTGTATGTATAGCGGGTCTGTTATACTTAGAAAGGAGCTTTCTTGTTTTAGAATATATTCGTCTGATATCATTTTCTCTTTTTCTTTGATCATTTTATGGTGAATTATTTCACGTTTATTTAAACCGAAGTACTTATAAGCTTCATCTTGCTATCGTTTTCCCATCATCATCATCATCATCATCATCATCATCATCATCATCATCATCATCATCATCATCATCAATAATATAAACAACAACAACAACAACAGCAACAAAAACAAAACAAACAACAACCACAACAATAAAAATAATAATAACAATAATAATATCATGTTGAAATTTTGGAAAAAATAAAATGAAATGTCAATTATAAGCCCTTTTAATAAGTGAGAAGATTTTAAATCAAACATGTCGAAACGAACCATAAAGCGATAAATACGTAGCTTAATATCGAAAATTGAAAGAATCAAATGAAATAACACTTATCACATCTTTTAAATAAGTGAGGAGTTCCTAAATCATAGCAAAACACTCTACTGGAGGCCTATCAATAATTACATAGCCTCATGATGGAAGATTCATTTATTTCACTAACCATATATTTTGATTCGTAACTCATGATCCAACCAAGTATAATAAGTTTTAGTGACATAAAGAAGTTATTTCGTTGGACTTTTCTCATTTTTTCTATTAGTATCATTTACAAATCATTAATACATTTTTAACATTTCTGTAGTATTCAATTGATGAAGTTTGTTAGGTAATATAATATTTTGTCTGACATTTGAATATTTTGCGCATGTCATCGTAACTTTACTTTCCACTGCCGCAAGCAGTTGTTTTGTAAACTTTTCTGTTCATAGTAAGCGAACTTATATATAGCTTACATAGTGAAAAAAAAAATTATGAGTTGTTTTTGTGCTAAAATTAGAGAAATAATGTTGTCAGCTCTAACCTGATATCCTCTGTATATTTAAATACAAAACAATATGGAATAATGCAAGGAAAAAGAAATGAAGGAATAACATGAAATTACATTTACTTTTAGATTACACCAAACATTTTATTTAATTTACATATACTTCATGTTAGAAACATTTGTAAACTATAGTAAAGTAAATTATGTAAGTTTTATTTGGACAGGAAAATTACTGGACTTTACCAGTTAAAAAAAATACCGATTCATTAAAGTATTATTCTTAATTTTTTGAAATTAGTCTTACAGTTTTAAATAATGGCTCATCACTAAAGGAAATATTCAGCATTATCTTGACACTCCTGGTTATTCAGTTACTAAACATGCAGGTATTTAGATAAAAACTGCATCAAGTGCGCCATCATTATTTGCAATATAATCTGCTCCAAAGATTTGAGCTGTCTAGATTATAGGGTCGCAATGTTCACCTTTATTTAAAAATAAAAGCTTTTATAATATATCCCCTATAAGCCGGGAAACAAGATAGAATATATTTACCTGAATAATTGTCGGACTATTGACTTCAACTTTGAGGTTGTTACGATTCGGCAATTGCAACATCCGGCCTATAACAAGTTTATGTCAATGCGTGTAACCTATAGTGAACTTCGAAATAAACCCTTTATTTAAGTAGATTGTTTTTATTCCACTCTTCATTTATAGCCATATCGCATCTGGTTCTTAATTACTACTTATATATTGCCCAACTCGTTTCCACTACGTTCAAGCAGATTCTGACCGACTCAAGGATTGAACTCATAATTACTATGACACTATAATTTGCTGGCGT